TGTCCAATGCAGCACTTCCATCTCAACTAAATCCACTGCCTAGAACACTATACCAAAGTCCCACAAGTAGTTCCAAAATTAGTATAAACCAGTATTTTGGAACCCATGCAAGATTGAATCCTTAACAGGACGTAAGGTATCAGGTGAGAGACTAATGCACACAGTGACAAAGCTATTAAAGCTGAATTATTGGTGAATGTAAATTTTAATTGTCATAGTGTGTTTAGTCTAGAAGAATCTTAGCTTGCCCAATTCATCCCAAAAAATAATTGTTTTAAGTTCTGATACTGTTAGTAAAACAGTTTAAAGGTGAAAGGAACTGGCAGATTTTTGCAAGAGAAAACTAAGTAAGCAATTAAGTGTAGTTGCTGTCTTGCATGCAAATATATTGTTTAGTTACTTTTATTAAGTTTCCTTGGCACCTTTAAAAGTTTTGTTCAAGCAACATATGTATGTTACCACGAAATTATGCACAGCCAGCCTTTGATTGAGAAAAAATAATTACTTATAAGCCGCTTACTCCTTATTTTAACCAGCAGTAAACTGTATAAGCAGGAAAAACTTACTAGTTTTTGGTTTCAACAAGCTAGAAATGGTGAGGTGAGGCTGCCGGACTGACTGCCAAGAAGAATTTGCTGAAAAGGTTTTGCCAGATGTTGCGTTGTATTTAGTTGGTTGGCGAAGGGGGTGTTGTGGATTTTTCCTGCTTTTTTGTTAGCCGAAGGCTGCTGCTGTAGTTGTTGTGAAGACATTTGGTAAATAAACAGCTGAGCTGATTGGCCGGGAATGTGTGGGCGGTCGAGGTGGCTGCTGCCGATTTGGTTAAGGTTGGAGAGAAGGCTGAGAGAAAACAGCATGCTCGGGAACCAAAGGGCGGTGCAACCTGACGACTGGCCATGCCTGGGTCATGTGAAACGACACCAGCCAAGCTGAATGGGGCGCGCTGGTCACATGACGCTGAAAGGGCTAGTTGACTGGCTAATGCAGACTCAGAGGGTGGTGAGAAGAGACATGATGGTGACTCTGTAACGGGTTCATTTTTATTAATAGATGGACCAAAAAGCATAAAAAAATGAAAAACAAGCCATCAGTACAACCATCTATTAGCTAACAAATACTCCTATTGTGTTCTACAGTGAAAGGGGATATGTCTCACTCTATCTTGTATGGACTTCACCTGTACCAGGCTAAGATTTCTGCCCTTGCAGAAATTTGGATTTAAATATTGTACTGAATATTTAACACCCAACAAACCTTTCTGGGTAGTTGAATGTGTACCAGGTAAAAACTGCTTTATTTTGAAGTTTAGTATTGCAGAACTACAACGGAGTCATATTTCAACAGTTTATTACTGTCAAACCTAGCTAGGCAACTGCTGATTGCTTTGGCATGCTTAAAACAGTTGCCTGTCTGGCATCACTTGTGTTAAATCAGAAAAACTTGAGTGAAAAAAGCCAAGCTGCTGAATGTAATGTTTACCAACAATGGAGTAAAGAAAAGCAAAAATCAAGTTGGAGTACTGGGAAGAAAAAAGAAGCAACTAGAAGATGAATAGACTTCAGAAGGAAAGATGATAATCCATGTTAGAGGGAACTATTAACTGGTATAGACACCTAAGGATAAAAGTCAGCGTTCAACAGTGTATCCCTCTAACACATACTTTAATGCCTTAGAATTTGGTGATGCAGTATTGCCACACATCCGTATGCCTTTTAAAAGCCTATTATACCAAAAAGGTAATACTGCCAAAATCTCTATTCAAGTTTTTTGATCCTACATACCTGCGGCGAGGTGGAGGACTTCTCCTACGATAGTCATCTCGAGGACGTCTACCCCATGAGGGAGGTGGACCACGGTTTCGACTACGTTTTTCACCATTGGATAGTTCCACCCTGACACGACACCCACAAAGAGTCCTGAGAGATAAAGATAATTACTGTTAGAGCAAATAACCAGTATGAATCATGTAACAACTATAAAAACCTTTCAACTAAATGTGAAGTATTTACACATTAAACCAAATCTCTATGTGTTAGGAGTGCTTATTTATTTGATTTCTATCCCACCTTCCTCTCAGATGGGGACACAAAGAGGCTTTCAAGGCAAATTTGAAACAAAGGAGCTGAACCTCTCTGAACTCAGCAGAACGAATATCTGAACAAACACTCATAAGAATGGTCTACAAAACTTAATTTGAAGACTCAATTATACCTACGAGTGATAAATGTAGAAAAGAGTTCCTAAGTAGCATTTTAGCTTAGCACAACTGCAAGTTCTGGACCCTCTAGTACAGGGGTAGGCAACCTTTTCCCTTTAAGGGCCGAGGGACTTCAGCTCCCAGAAGCCTCAGCCATGTTGGCCAATAGTCCCATGTTGGCCAATAGCTCCTGGGATTCTGGGAGGTGAAGTCCCTCGGCCCTTAAAGGGGAAAGGTTGCCTACCCCTGCTCTAGTATATCTTTAAGAAATGTCAAAGTTCCCTGCATGCATGCATTTTAACAAGATACCAGCCCTATTTCAGTGCTTTTCAACAATGCAGCTGAATTGCTCTTGGGTATCAATATAAAAAATACAAAACAAGACTTTTCAATCTAAGTAACCTTCAACAACCCAACTAAGTAAAAGTGCTTTTACCTCCCATCTAGTTCTCTCACTGCGTCAGCAGCATCACGTGGGTCTTCAAATTCCACAAAGGCAAAACCAGGGGGATTCCTAGCAACCCACACACTGCGCAGCGGTCCATAGTAGCCAAAAGCTCTTTCCAGTTCAGTTTTGTTGCCATTGTTCCCAAGGTTACCTACATAAACCTTGCAGTCCAGTGGACACGAGTCACGATGCATCTCTGTAGCATATTCAAAGAGAGAGATGGGGAAAAAAATGTTTAGCTTCCATTCTTAGCACGTATTAAGACACAGTAGGGGAAATGGAGTATACATACAAGGAACTTACAACAAAAGTTAGTTTTTTGTGGGTTCTTCAGGCTGTGAGGCCGTGTTTTAGAAGAATGTATTCCAGACGTTTCACTTTCATCTGTAGCTGGCATCTTCAGTTTCTTCTAGAACACACCCTCACAGCATAAAAAACCCACAAAAACCTATGGATGCCAGCCGTGAAAGCCTTCGGAACCACCAGTTCGTTTATACACCCTCAAGACATTTAAGAACCGTTTGCAGCAATTGGATAAAGAATTGTCTTTTCCTCCGCTTACAAAGCGAGATGTTATGTTTTTGATTTTTTATATATATATATATATATATATAATTTACTTCATATTTTCAAGGGCCTATGTTTTCAGGTTCCCCAAGAAAACATCCCATCGTAAGACCAGGCGGAGAACTATAGCTGGGCCGATGAGGAAAATGAAAGCTGGTAATTAATGTCGATTTGTAAGCGAGAGGCCTCCTACGCCCTTTACCTCACCCTTAGGCTAGGCATAAAAGAATAACAAGGCCCCTCCTGCCCTATTTGTTAACCTTCCCTCCCATCCCCGGAACCATCTCCTTGATGGAAGGCCTGACGTTCCTCCCGACCATACAAAATGGCGGCGGTTCTTTGTCCGCCGTCTCTCAGCCGCAAGGCCCGCCATCTCGCCCGAGCCCTTCCCTCACCGGCTTCTGGGCCAGGAGTGCGAAGGACTTTCGCCAACTACTGCTGCTTTCTTCCTCCTTCGCCTTCTCCTCTGCTTTGTCCCTCAGCCACTTAAGCCTCGCTCGGCCGTTCCTCCTTTCCCGCCAAGACTGGGGTTTTCTAACCGCTCTCGCTCTTTCGCACTGGACAAAATGGCGGACGGAGCCGCTACGCCCTAGGTTTATATAGGTTCGGCCCACTGGGGCACGTGATGACTATATTAACCAATTAGAAACAGTTGCTCCAGTGATTGACGTTCCTCGGCTTCGTACTCCCCCCAGAAACGCGCCTGCGCAAACAGCGCCTCCCTTTCTCTTCTGTTCGCAGAGCTGGATCCCACAAGATGTAGGCCGAGGCCCGATTACCATGGCAACCGGGGAAGGAGCGGGAAGACTTCGGATGCATCCGCACTGCAGAAATAATCCGGTTTGACACCGCTTTGGTCCAAAACACACTGCAGAAATAATCCAGTTTGAGACTGCGTTAACTGTCCTGGCTCAGTGCTAGAGAATCCTGGGAATTGTAGTTTATTGTGGCACGAGAGCTCTCTGACAGTGAAGGCTTAATGTCTCACAGAACTGCAGTTCCCAGAATTCTCTAGCATTGAGCCAGGGCAGTTAAAACGGTCTCAAACTGGATTATTTCTGCAATGTGTTTTGGACCTCTAACTGCCATGGCTGAAGGGCTATGGAATTCTGGGAATGATAGTTGGTTTTGGGGCCACAAGCAACTACCTTTCCCACAATTCCATAGCCTTGAACCATGCCAGTCAAACCGGATTATTTCTGCAGTGTAGATGGAGCTCAGTTTTATGGCGGAAGCGACTGCTCACAATTCCTTCTTTTTCTGACACACGAAGACTAATGTGATTTTGCTCCACCTCAGATTTCCCTCCCTGACGCAATCATTTTTGGAGAGCCAAATTTAGTAATAATGTGTTTGCTGTTGTTGTGTGCCTTCAAGTCATTTCAGACTCTAAGGCGATCCTATCATGGGGTTTTATTGGCAAGGTTTCTTCGAAGGGGGTTTACCATTGCCATCCTCTGAGGCTGAGAGAGTGTGACTTGCCCAAGGTCATCCAGTGGGTTTCCATGGCCGAGCCGGATTCAAATCCTAATCTCCTAGCTCAAATCATTACACCTAAATAAAAGTCTACCAACAACTATTGGCCAAGATTTCTAAATGGAACATCCATATTCAGAAGCAGTCTATCAAGTTATGGCGACTCTAAGGAGAACTTATCATGGGGTTTTCTTGGCAAGATTTCTTCAGAGGGGGTTTGCTATTGCCATCCTCTGAGGCTGAGACAGCGTAGATGTATATAAAAGCCCCTCGATAATGTCATAGTTTTGGGGATGTCTCTATTTAACGAGAATCAGTGTGGCGTAGTGGTTTGAGCCTTGGTCTACAACAGGAGACCAGGGTTCAAATCCCTACTCTGCTATGAAACCCACTGGGTGACCTTGGGCAAGTCACAATCTCTCAGCCTCAGAGGATGCCAGTGCCAAACTCCCTCTGCACAAAATCTTGCCAAAAAAAAAACTGCAGTAGGTTGCCAGAAGTCAGATACGACTTCAAGGCACACAACAACAAAACTCTATTTTAATAGCTCATTACGCATCTCCCAGTTGAGTTTCTTTGCAATTTCATCAAGCCCCCGGAGTGGATTGTAGGCAAGCAACCCTTAAGAGATGTCTTAAGGGTCCCTCCTGAGAGAAAGGTGCCATAAAAATGAAATAAATAAATAAGAGAGGCCTAAAGGCTGTAGTGTTTAAACACTAGTTTTGGATTGACTCAGGGTGACCAGATGTCTCCACCGTAAAGGAGAAGGCACCACAAAATTGAGGACTTCCAAGAAAAATGGTGGACATGACCAAATAAAAGCTATAAGAAAACACTCCTAGAAATATAAATCCATGCTTCTTAGGACATTATCACACGGGGGAAATCTGCTGGTTAATCCACACAAATCCCAAACAAAAATTGGATTTGTGCCTCGTGTGAAGTCGCATAGAAACTGGACAGAAAGTGGATAGAAACTAGTGTTATCCGAGATCTTT